GAGAATTCCCCCAGGAGAGCCCCTGGGAATCTCTTCCCATTCACAAACCGGCTGCCAGATTTCACTTCCATAATTTACCATGTTCATGGTGTGGGAAGATGGAGAGAAGCTGCAGGGGTGGGGGGTAGTCTAAGAAATAAAAAGGGGATAAAATAAAAAGTCACAGGTATCAGTGACATGGAAGCTGAGTGAAGGAGGCATTTAACAGATGTGAATGACTAGGACTATATACTTTGAGGAGATTAAATCTGACAAGCATCTGCAATGCCAACGTGAAAAATGGCATGCTCATCATGGCTGCCTAGGTGAGAACAATTTCATCAGAGCTTGTTCACTGTTCAGGTCTGGTAGAAATGACATTGGAGGTAGACAGAACACAAGTGGGCAGTACAGATAACTCATTCAAAGTGTGTTCTCAAAAGGACATTTAAGAAATGAGTCAGCAGACATTGAGATGTCTCAGTGGGTAAAGGCATTTTTTGCCAAGACTAGTTACCTGAATTCAAACTTGGAATCCACATGATTTAAAAAAAAAAGTGAGTAACCTCTGAAGACTGCCCACTGATATACAGACTATACAGACAGAGATGCATATGGATGGACACACACACAAACACACACACACACACACAGACAGAGAGACAGACAGACACACACACACACATGAGTAAATATAATCTAATAAAAATGTGTAAGGAGTCATAGGCCTGCAGAGGTGTCTTAGCTGTTACTTGCTCCTCTCATGGAGATCCTTGTTCAGTCCCCATGGAGGTTCACAATCACCTATAACTCCTGTTCTAGGGTATCCTTTGTCCTCTCTGGCCTCCATATGTACTACATGCACTTTTTACAAACACATGTCTGCAGGCAAAATACTTACAGATATAAAATAAAAACAAGTGATTCCTTTGGAAAACTGAGTGTGTAAACCGGAAGCATGGAAGTCACTCCTGCTTGAGTTTAATAAGACCAGAAGAGGTCATGATGAACCTTAGCAAGACTGTCAGATCCCTACATCCCTGCCCCTGGAGCAGCACCCAGGTGAAACCCTGTGATTTTTCTCCTTCAGCCGTGTGAAAACCTTTAGAACAATGGAAATGCTTTACACAGTTAGAACCCTATATCTACAAAATGAGAAAGAATGTCATTCTTAAAACAAGTAGCAGGGATGAGGGCTGCTGGGAACAAATGCCTATGTGGCTGCAGTCACACCAGCATGTTCCTAAGTGGCTCCTGACATCTCCTTAAACCAGAAACTTCTTTGATTTTCACTCAATGTGTTTCTTAAATTTGTGAAGAAGACCTAGAGCCAGTTCTTGGCCTTATGTAAATTATCTGCCAATCAGATCCCTGTTTATCAACATGACTTCATTGTCTAATCTGTCATGTGTGTGCGGTGGGGGGAGTCCACCCTTTGTACAATAGGAGCATAATGCTAATAGATCATTACATATGTATTATCGTTGTTATTATTGTAATTATTATTATTAGTTGGGAGCGAGCCACAGTGTGTGTAGGAGTCAGAAGACAACCTTGGAGCTGGTTCTCTTTACCTTCCATGGGATCTAATTCAGGTCACGGGGTAAGGAGCAAAGACTTTAACCTACTGAGTCACCCTAATGTCTCACTGTGTCTATCTTATAATGGAGATTGATGTAATAATTAAATTCCCCTTGTCTTTTGTATCCCACTCTCCTTCCATGGGATGCTCTTATACAGACTACTGAAAGTCTGGCATTAGGAAATACCATCATGGGTGGTGGTGGTGCACACCTTTAATCCCAGCACTCAGGAGGCAGAGGCAGGCAGATCTCAGTGAGTTCCAGCTCAACATGGTCTACAGAGTGAGTTCCAGAACAGCCAGAGCTACACAGAGAACCCTTGTCTTGAAACAACTCTCCAAATATGGAAATATCATCATATTCTATTTTATGGATACTTTAAGGAACATTCAAATCTACATTGGCCTCAGTCATTTGCCAGTTATTACTGTCCTGAATGAGGATTCTACATCTGTTAGTCACTAAAACTCAGAAAAGCCAGACTGTAACACCTCCCCCATTAATACACTGTCTAGCTACCTTAGTTCTTAGGCAAGTCCATGCCCAGCAAATTCAGCCATCTCATCTAACACTAACCAACTCTAATTCTAAACTGCCTGGAATAAAATCATTTTTTAACTTACTGTCCAGCACCCAGCATCTCCACCTTCTCTTGGTAATCAGTATGGCTGTGTTGTGAAAATTAATAGATTATCCAATTGCTAAAGTTCCTTCTAGTCTTAATTAAACACAGTCCAACCATGTACATAGGTGTTTATCAAGATATTTTCACCTGTGTGAGGTCAGAGGTCAACATCAGGTTCACACCAGTGCTCACAGTAAACCTGAATGCTAGTTTCACTAAAAATGGAAAAATGTTCTTTAGAATACAGTATAATTATCCATTATGTTTCAATGTCTTATCAGTGTTTTGTGTTACATGGGATTACACATGCACAGAGAATCAGTGCTCTGCACCCCGATAAGCACTGTCTGACTGTGCCATGAGCCTCAGAAGCCGCTGTCTGGGGAAGCCCATTTCCACCACAAAGAGCCACTAAAAGAAGCTGCTCACTTGCTTGTATAATGAGTGAAGGGAGCCTGGCACTTCAGGCAAAATAACTGACGATGTTAGTGGTAAGATTTGAGCTAACAAGTAAAACTTTGAATTGAGAATAATTTTTAATCATCCCCGGGGAGTTGAGAGTCAATACATGCAAAGAGTTTTCTGAAAGCCAAATGTCATGTGTCACCATAAAAATAGATGCACATATCACTGAAGGAGGACAGCAAGTGCAGAGGCAAAGTCACAGGCTACCGGTGGACTGATGTGCAGTAACAAATGTCTGCAAGAACACACCATGGGGAAGGACAAGTCCATGGTGCTGGGGGAAGCCTTGTTCATATGCAGTGTGAATCAGGCGACACCATCATTCTTTGTCATGTAAAAATGGACTGAAAACGAAAGGCCAGACCTCAATGTGAGCATTAGAATAAATCACTTCGCCTGGTGCACTTCCTTCCAAAATAGTGATTGTCCATTTTTTTTTAATTAAAAGCTCAGAAATGTTGACAATGAAATAAAACAACAAATAGGCAAATACAAATCAGACTAAGAAAGCTTCAGAATGACAGAAACAACCAATACAGTGAGAGAAAGACCTATCGATTAGAAAACAGCCACAAAGGATGGATCTCACAGGGGTTAGTGACAAAAATATAAGAGGAACTGAAACACATCAATAACATCAAAATGAGCAACAGAGTTAAATCGTGGGCAGAAGACAGGACAGTTCCAGAAGAAGATGCACAGATAGATGGCCAAGTCTGTAAAGAATGTTTAACATTGAAGAGCTCAAGGCAAACATGAGCCCAGGCTATGACACTCCACTCCAGTGACACTCCACTCCAATTAGAATGGCCGTCATCTAAAGACAAGATTAGAGCTTCAGGCTGTAAGAATTTACTCACATGACCATTGGTTTGTGGGTTAGACAGCTTCCCCATGATTATAATGAAATCCCTTGATCAATTTATGAGGATAAAGGGTTGATTGTGGATTACAGTTTTGGAGGCTTTGGTTTATGACCCATTGGCATCCTTGATTTGGGCCAGTGGTGAGGCAACACATCGGGTTAGAAGTGCATGGTAGAGTCAACTGGCTATACCATGACCCGGAGAACAAAAAGGAAGTGGAAGAAATCATGGGCACTGGCCTCCTCTTAGGACATCCTGAATATCCTAAATGACCCCCACAAAGCTGCAGCTCTCCAGGATTCCACCATACCTCAGTAGTGACACCACAGGGACCAAGCTAACAAAATCTGAACTGCAGCAGTGGAATGTGAACTAGTGGCTCCATCATGGAAAACACGAGAATTTATAAACATAGCAGCTCCCATTTCACCACCGTGTTGTGTTTGGACCTCTGCCACGCATCAGAAACCACATTTGATCTTTTGAGGTTTTTGGCTGAGGGGCAGAAGCTAGGACATCTCTGAGGGGAGCGGGAAGCAGGAGGGAAGACTCAGAAAACATCCATCAAGCATTCTAGAAGATAGCCAAATCAGTTCTTGGCGATTTTCACACAGCCCAGGAAGGGAGGAGCCTAACCTAGAAGATGTCAATCAGGGATAGTAAGATGGGCAAGGCCACAATCCAGCCTGTGCCTTCTGGGGGATAGGCATGGGACTGATTTGTGCCCAGAGTAGCCTTTCCTACCTGGAGACAGGACAAGCGCCTGCATCATCACATAACAGCACACTTTTATCCCAAGAGTCGGAGTGGAACTTCAGATCTAACTGTTCACAGCTACCTGAGTTAGTTTAGGAAGAAAGAGAAGCATTTGCTCCATGCCAGGAGATAGTTTGTAAGCTCCTCAGGCAGAAGAAATCAGGAAACTCCACAAACTTGGCTCACCACGTTGAGATTACTCACTGTCTATAAAGAATCTGCCAAGCTTGCTGAGGATGAGGAGGTCAATGCCATTCTGATGTAAACTGCCGTGCAGGCTCCAGCACAACCCAGCTCAGAAATCTAACCCACTCAGGGATCTAGGAAAACCTTGGAACAGGGTTCACCTTGAAACAGGGATCTCCTAACTCTGAGACCGCCCATCCCCCAGCTGATTTCCTTACTGAGAGGTCTATGTGAGTACAGTGCCTCTGCTCACACAAATGGGCTTTAATTACTTCTACAAATGGCAAATGCTATGTCAGGAGCCTAACACTCATGGTTGCAATTAAGGAACATTCATTTTTTTAAAGTTCATTATTTATTGTAACTTGGATTATAGCTGCATTTTCTGAAACTATCAGTGCGTGACAATGTTTTCTAAGTTGTCCCTGTTCATAAACATAGCCATGAAAACACAGTTAAATCATAGAGAGTAATCACAACGACAAAAACATTTAGAAAAAGCCCACCCAGAGCAGATAATAAAGGAAATCAAGCTCTCACCTCTGCTGTCTGTGTCCTGGGAAAGGCAGATGACTTCTCTATGGCATAAACATCCACCAGATAGAGACATGCTCCCTGCTCCCGGTCCAAAATGGCTGCAGATTGAATGACCCCAGTCTGCCGTCCAATGGTAAAGAGACGTCCAACAGTCTTTTCTTCACAGTGAATGGAAACGATGTAATATTCCACTGGAGCTTCTGACCCCCTGGGGCTAGCTGCTTCTATGGATATAACATTGGTACCAATGGGCTCCCCTTCCTTCAAGATGGTTATGTATTTGTTCTGTGTGAAAATAGGCCCATCAAGGCTCTGGAGGATGACGGTCAACTCCGTGGTTGACTTCCTCCTCTCTGGGCCCAGGTCTGTGGCTGATACTCTGAGGTTATAGATGAGCTGTGAAGGCACTAATGCAGAAGCCACACGAAGGTCTCCACTGTAGCGATCCACAGTGAAGGTTTCTGTGTCTCCATTGACTATTTCATACTCCACCTCTCCATTGGCACCTTCATCGGGTTCTGCAGCCATTATGGTAGTCAAGACAGAACCAATCATGGCTGAAGGATCTGCAACCAGGGCGTTTTGTGATATAAACATTGGGACATTGTCATTGAGTCTGTTACCAAAATGGTCACATTTTTCAAGGCATACCTCCTAGTTTCTATCGGCACAGCTTGATCATTGGCTTTCACTGTTAACTCAAAGAGATTGGCAAATTCCCGGTCGATCTCAGCACTGGTGTAGATGGTTTCTTTGACTTCATTTATGCTGAAGTGGTTGCCTCGGGGTCATCTGTTGGATGATGGCGTAAGACAGCTGCCCATTGATATTCGCATCTGGGTCATGCGCTGTCACAGAAATGACAGATGTACCAAGAGGGATGTTCTCCACTATAGACTTAAAAATGTCTCCCGGAGGAAAGCTTGGGGGGTTGTCATTGAAGTCCCTCACATGAATCACCACTGACATTGTGGATGACCTAGGAGGTCGCCCTTGGTCTTTTGCTGTGACGTTTAATTTATATAAAGACTGTCTCAAAGTCCAACTTCTTGGCAAGAAAGATACTCCCAGTGTTTGGACTAATACTAAAAGTCCCATGGTTGTTTGATCCTGTGATGCTGTAGTGTAAGTCTGCATTGACACCAGAGTCAGAATCAGTGGCAGTAACAGAGGACACCAGTTCACCAGTCCTCATGTTTTCCAAGACATCCACAAATAGTGTTGACTTCAGGAATGAGGGCGTGTTGTCATTTTCATCCAAAATGTCAATACTTAGAGTACAGGTTGAGTTGAGGGAGATGGCCCCTGAATCCACTGCCTGGATGAGGAGGGAATAGGCCGGGGTCGCCTCATAGTCTAACTTACCTATAAGAGTCACCTGACCAGAGAACTTGTCTATGGTGAACTGTCTTTCTTCGTTTCCTTTGAAGATAGAGTAGTGAATGAGGGCGTTATTTCCTTCATCCACATCGGAGGCAGACACCTGTAAGACCTGGGTCAGATTGGTCGCCGTCTCTGACACTGTAGCTTGGTAAAAGTCTTTTAGAAACTTGGGGGCATTGTCATTGATGTCCTTCATGTAGACATGCACGGAAGGCCCTGATCTGTGGCTATCACTGTGAAGCTGAAGACTGCTGTCCCCCGTCTCCTCATGAGTGACTCCCTGTCAAACTTGTGAGTGTTGGTGATTTCCCCAGTGACAGCATGCAACTCAAAATCAGGCTGTGCCACCTCAAAAGCATACCTTACTTCCCCATTAGGCCCGAAGTCTTTGTCCACCGCACTGACCTTGCCTACAAATGACCCGGCCCTCTGCTCCTCTTCAAAGTAGAATGTGTAATTGGTACTATTAAACAAAGGCCTATTGTCATTCACATCTTCTAAAATTACGGTGACATTCACAGTAGCACTTAGGGGCTCCACTGCCCAGTCAGAGGCAACAACCAATAACACATACCTCTCCTGAAGTTCACGGTCCAATTCACTTTTGATGTACAACTGGCCATCTGGGAATATGCCAAAGGCATCCCCAGTGTTCCCATCTGTGATAGTGTACACTATTTCCCCATGTGCCCCAGAATCTTTATCGGAAGCTTGCACTTTAAAGAATCGAGAATTCACAGGCTCCGACTCAGAAAGTGTGACCTCATAGGAAATCTGGTCAAACACTGGAGGGTTGTCATTTACGTCATGGACATAAACTGTCAAAATGATGCTGGAGGAGAGCTGGGGGACACCCATATCAGAGGCCAAGATTTCTACCTGGTATGAGCCAGCGTGGACATCCAGTGGAGCCAGCAGACTGATGTTACCATTCTGCTCATTGATAGCAAACAGGTTCTTGGGGTTCTGCTTCAGGATGTAGAGCACCCTGCCATTGACACCCTCATCAGGGTCCACGGTTTTGGCCTGGAAGATGCTATGCCCTGCCTGCCAGTTCTCCACTGCGTTTATACTTTCTACTGCCTGGAGGAAGTGGGGAGCGTTATTATTCAAGTCTTTCACTGTGATGTTAACCACAGTGTCTCCTATTACTGCTCCCCCACTGGCCATGACTCTCAGCTGATAAAAAGACTGCTCTTCCCTATCAATCACACTTGCTGTGGTCAGCTGCCCTGTGACAGGATTCATAACAAACATACCTCTCTGGTCCCCAGTAGTGATGAGATAGCTAATGTTAGCATTGAGGTCCATGGTGGTGGCAGAAACACTGCCAACGTGGTAACCTAGAGCCACATTCTCAAAGACCACAAAGCTGTAAGCAGCCTGGCTGAATACAGGTGGGTTGTCCTGTGTTTCTAACACTGTGACTGTTACTATGGCCTGGTTAGGAGACTGTAAATTGCCCCCCATCAGTGGCCACTATTTGCAGCTGGTAGGCTGTTTTCTCTTCTCTGTCTAGGGCCATTCTTGTAGAAATAACCCCGCTCTTAGCATTAATCTGAAACCTCGACCTGTCCCCAGCTGATATACTATACTGAACAGTTCCACTGGGACCCATGTCTGGGTCAGTAGCAGACTCTGTGGGGACATAGCTACCTCCAGGCTCATTCTCCTGAATATGAGCAAAGTATTGGACTGAGTAGAACACAGGACTGTTGTCATTGATGTCCAGAAGACTGACATTCACCTGAGCTGTGGATGACTGGGGAGGGGAGCCCAAGTCTGTCGCTAGAACCAATAGACAGTAGAAAGCTTGTTCCTCTCTGTCTAGGGAGGAGATAGTACTCAGCCTCCCAGATACAGGATCCAGGCGGAAGAGCCTTCGGTCACTCTCAGCCTCTTGCAGGGAGAAGCGCACTGTCCCGTTGTCACTCAGATCCCCATTGGTTGCCCCTAGAATCAACAGCTCAGTCCCAGCTGGAGCGTTCTCAACTACAGACACCTCATAGCCTTCAGGCTGGCTAAACACGGGCTTTTCATCATTGACATCCAAGACAGTTACCACAAGCTGGGCATAGGGCACCTTGGGGTGGACCCCCTGGTCTCGGGCACTGATATTCAGTACAATCTGGGAGGCGAGTTCACAGTCAAGGCCCTCTGCAGCACTGGTGGTCACTAGACCACTGTGCTCACTAATGTGGAACCAGCCCAACCCATTTCCAGAGACGATGCTGTAGCGCAGGTTAGCATTGAGATCAGAGGCACCGTTGGTGGCAGACACCCCAATCACATAGCTCCCCGGAGGCGCCTCCTCGCTCAGGTTCACTCTGTACACTTGCTGCGCAAAGACCAGAGGGTGATCATTGATGTCATTGACAAAAATCACCAAGCTGGCCACAGAAGAGCGCGCCTGAACTTCGGCGGTAGGGGGCGCCCCGGAGTTATCCGAGATGGAGACTGTGAGGTTGTAGGAAGGAATTCGCTCGCGGTCCAGGGCGCTGGCCACCTTGATGAGACTCAGGTTGGGCACCTTGCTCCTCTGTACCTCAAAGTGGTGTTGCTCATTGCCCCCGAGAATCTGCACTGAGATGTTTCCATTGGCTGCCGGGGAGTCCGCGTTGGTCACGGTGAGCAGAGCCACCACTGTACCCACCTGCGCGTTCTCATCCACCGAAGCATAGCGCGAGGTGGCGGGGAAGTAGCGAAACTTCACTACAGGGTCCTTGTCATTGACATCCAGCAGTTGGATGATCGCTTCCGCGCGCCCGGTGAGGGAGGGCACGCCCTGGTCCGTGGCCTGCACTGTCAGCGAATACTGTCGCAGGGCCTGAAAGTCTAGCGACTCTCGCACGGAGAAGACCCCCGTCTCCGGGTCCATCTGGAAGGGGGTTCCCTCGTCCGGCAGCCGGTAACGGATGTCCGCATTGGTGCCCTCGTCTGCGTCTGCCGCCGCCACCTGCAGGACACTCGAGCCCACAGCCGCGTCCTCAGGCACCCCCGCCTGGTAATGGGAACTGCCAAACACCGGGGGATTGTCGTTAATGTCCTGTACAGTCACATTGACCTGAAGGTAACACCGCCGCTTTGGCTCACCCTTGTCCTCCACCAGGAGCTGGTACTGAGGCGTGACCTGGCGGTCCAGCCAGCCCTTGGAGACCAGGTGCAGGAATGCTCCCTCACCACTGGGGTTCAAGGTAATGTCCAGTCGAAAGCGACCCGCCTCGTTGCCGCGGACGATGCAGTAGGAGCGGTGGTCCACGCTGTTGGAGTCGATGTCAGAGTTTGTGGCGGTGTCCAGAATGACCCGACGCCCGCTGCCACTGTCCTCCTTGAAGGTGACCTGGGAAAACTGGGGCATTGTCGTTGAGGTCACCCACCAACACCCGCACCTCAGTAGGGTAGGTGGGCGCGCTGGAAAGGACCACCAGGTTGACCACGTCGCTGGGCAGGCTCTCGCGGTCGATGGTGGCTGTGGTGTGCAGCGCTCCGGTGCTGCTGCTAATAGCGAACAGGGCGTGGCTTTCGTTGAGCTGGTAGGTGAAGCCGGGGCGCGTTGGGATGGGTCCCACCAGAGGCCCTGGGGGCTGCTCTTCCATCACCTGGAACACCTGACGCTGTTCGGCCGCTTGGACCCGGGCCAGGCCCGGGAACAGAGACAACAACCCCCAGACTCGCAGCAGCTGGCACAGGGATGGAGAGAGTAGCAGGAGCTGCCTGAGGCCAGGTGCCGGGTCTGCGGCCAAGTTCATGGTCCTGGTTTCCAGGAACCGCGAGAGGAAGAGAAACAAGGTGAAGGAAAGGGCCTGATCCGGAGGGTTTCTGAGTGGAGCCAGTAAAAAGCCAGTTTGGCCGGAGATCTCTGCAGTTTAGAAGAGAGAGCAAGGGGCAGTTGCCCAGGAGAAGGCTCCTGGTGGCGGGGGAGACGCGCAGCGCAGGGGAGGATGAGGCGACAAGCAGCGGGGCATTCCTGGGCTCTCCCGAGAAAGTTTCCAGGCCTCCAGACACTTGGATTGGAATCCCGAGTCTGAGCGTCCTGACCGCGGATAGGAGTTGCGAGAGGCGGCCTGGATTTCAGGGACCTGAGGAGTCACTCACTGCACGCACGTCTCTCCAAAAACTTTAGAACTTACCCAGAGCGTGACGCCGGGAGAACCTGAAACTGGAGATGCACACTCTTCTCGAATTTCGCTCTGGGGGAGCTGGGAAGGTCGTCTCTGGATCGGGCACCCTCGTGGAGGCAGCAGGGGCACCGCGTCTCCAACAGTACTCAGCTCCGTCCCCTCGCTGGTATCCCAGGCTGCCCAGGCTGCCTTTGCGCCAGCCGCTGCTTGGAGCCCGAGGTCCAGCCCAAGCTGCTGCAGGCGCTGCTCCGCATCCTTCTCCTCCGCGCCGGCATCGATTGTACATCCACAGAGCGCAGGTTCCCCTTCCTCCTCTGCGTCGCGGTGGTCGGGCAGCAGCAGCGGCGGCAGCAGCAGCGCTGGTTCCCCGAGTCCCCTCCCCTCACCATGCCAGGGGCTCTTCCCCGGGCGTTAGAGGGCACCAGCGCCCCCAGGAGCGCCTCGCCCTTGTCCTGGGATCTGTGCTTTTATTGTCCCGGGTCAGTTTCACTTTGTAATCCGCTAGGCTTTGTGTTTGGGGAGGGGTGGGTCCCTCCTTCGCGGTCCCCGAGGACGACGGGGACTCGGAGGTGGGCGTGCTCCTTCACAGTAAGGGCTCAGAGGTGGCACCATGGCGGATCTGGAGCCCTGCAGTCCCCCGCTGCCTCTCCGGGTCCCTCGCACTCTCCCCGCCCCTTCCCCGCTGCTCGCACACACGCACTCACACACACGCGCGCACACACGGAGGGGGGAGGGCTGTCGGCGATCGCGAACAAGACTGAGAAACTTTGCTCGCCCCTCGACGCTTCCGGACTCCAGTGGCCGCCACTCCCCTGTTCTGGTCCTGTCACCCGCGGGCCCTGCCCTGCTACAGCTCATTGGCCACAGCCCCGCCCGGTGTCCCCGCCACCCTCGCCTCCTGCCGCCACTGGCTGGGGCGACGCTCGTCACCGCGGCCTCCTCTGAGGCTGTGGGCGGGTGGTGGGAGAGCCCGGCGGCAGAGGCGCAAAGGAGGGGCGACCATCCCCCAACTCCTTTCTATTTATTTATTTTCCCTTTTGGTCAAACCTTGGCTGGTGTCGGCGCAATCACAGCAAGAGGCAGCCGGGGAATAGATGGGGGTGGGGTCAGGTTTGGAAATAAATAAGTTTAGTGGCTGGAGCTGGGGGTGCCATTAGGCTGTTAGACTGTTAATAACTCGGTGGAGGGGGTCGAGGGAAATGAAAGAAAGGCTGGGGGCGAGGGTCTGTTAACGCGGGAGGAAGGATTAGGCAAAGCCTATCTGGGAATGCACACCGCTGCTGAGCTTTAACCATTTTGTGCCCTAGCCAGGGGCAGTGCCCGAGCGAGCTTCTGCCCACGGGACCCCGCAGAAACCCAGCTCTTCCCTACTCGTGAACCTGGGCCCCAAGCTGCTGTCCCTCGAGACTAGGAGACATCGAGGCCTCGGTTCCTGCAGCCCTCCAACTTCTCAAAGGAAGAGAGGGGCACGCCTGCACCTGCAGCTTGGTTAGTCTCACAGCTGGAATCCGGTCCACAGATCAGTCCTGAGGCTTCAGCTGAAACAATGGCAGCTTCTGCGGGGACAGTTTCCTCTTACAAACCCAGTTTGGAATTTTGACCCCCGGTTGGGCTCCCCCCGCCCCGGCCCCCGTGCCTGACATTTTCAAGCCAAAGGAAATCTAATAACGTTTGGTTTCGGTTTTGGTCTGGGGGGCGGGAGGAGGAGGGAGAATAGCTGTAAGTAAATAGAAATAAATGAAATGAAGTTTAAATTTAATTTTTTTAAGTGTCACACGTCACCGACTGCGCTCAGATGATTCCCCTGCCTTATCTTATTTGTGTGGTGCGCGCGAGGTTTCTTTAGAAGAAAAATAAAACGTGACTAGGAATCGGGTCAATAATTTTCCCCTTTAAGGGAACCAACTTGCAAAACATGAATTGAAGCCAAACAATGCAAATATAGGGCATATGTCATACAATTTTGCCACAGGAATCCCTCCAAACCTCAAACTTTCTGCGCCCGGAGATTGTTTAAGCGCGGGCCAACACTGCCCCCTGCTGGTTACAGCTAGTCTTGCAGCGACAGTCTCTGGTTTCGTGCTTTAAATTAAACGCAGACTGGGAGGATCTGGTTACAGAGCTAATTCCTCCTTCTTGCCAAGGGATGGGGGCAAAGAAAAGGATCTGCATGGATCCCCTACTGCCTTTCCTTGTGCGAGGTCAGAAAACAATCAAAAGCGATAGAGAAGACAGCACACTCAAGTCTTAAATGCAAACCGCCTGAAACCTAAACGGAGGAAGGATGGAGCCTGATTCTAAAACCATCGCGAATTCCTTTGTTTAGTTAGAACATTCGCTCCTGCCTCTTCCACACCTATAGCGTGAAGGGTGAATTGGACACAGACCAGAGAGTTAGTTATCTCTATTGCTGCATTTTTCAGACTACTTAACTATTGAACGCCTATCACTAACCTCCACTAAAAAAAAAAAAAACAAAAAAAAAAAACAAAAAAAAAAACGCTTTTAAGCCCCGTCAAAATTATTTTATTAACACACTGACTACCTGTCTGCTCTCAACCTCCAGGTCCATCAAGCCCTCTCTCCCCTTCCCTCCACAGTGGCCACTGAAATCCTTACTCTGCTCATTCACTCTGCACTCCTCCTTATCGCCTTCATGCTCACCACACCTCACTCCCCAGAGGCAGCCGCCTCAGTGGAAGACTATTCCTGAGTGCAAAAGTGGTCTTGCAAAAGTCCACTTTAGCTATGCTGCATTTTAGCTGAGGCACGTGACATTCATCCTGCTGCCTGTTGTACCACACCCCCATGTTTCTATTCATCCCTTCACTGCTGCTCTGACTTTGGCACTTTGCTCTGTCTGTACTACAGTGGCCAAGCCACCCCATTGTGCAGTCAGACAACAGCTCACCTCCAGGTCCCTAGCATCACAAAGAACTCTGCATTTTTTTGTCTGTGTTTGTTTCCTTTTTGGTATGTTCTCAATGTTTAGTTCAGTTTTTCATGATTTTTTTACATTTTCTCATATGCACATTGAAAGCTATTAATTTTCCTCAAGGTGCTGCATTGGCCTACCCATAATTAGACAAGCACTTTATGCAAATGAGAACAAAGAAACTAACATAGCTGAAGACAAAAATCATGTCCACCTGCGCAGATATGACTAAGAACTAATTATTAAAGGAGTTTAAATATCTTCTAGATCAAATTTGAGTTCAAGTTCTACTAAATTCAATTCTGTGAAACTTAAATTTCCCAGGAAGAATTTAGCAAAGCTACTCTTACTTCTGAAAGGCTTCCCCGAAAAAAATCTCATTTCCCACCAACACAGCTCTTACCTAGCAAGCCTCTTACTCAGCTATGAGCTTCCTGCATTGATAAGGAGTCCCTCCCTATGACACCTTATTCTGCAGAGATGTCCTCATCCACTTCCATATCTGGTTTATAAGGATATACAAAGTCTTTTTAAGACTCTCTTGTTCCCAAACAGTGTGTTTGTCTTGGAAATCGGCTCCTACACACAAAGTCAGTCTTCTTGAATCCATCACGGTGGAGTTTTCTCCTGTCTTTTTTTCCCCATCTTATTTTCTGCATCCTGACAATTTAATATTCTGTTAGTCATGGTGTTATCATTTGCCTTTGTTTGTTCGATTTTTCAACTGCTTAAAAAATAATTATATCTTACCTAGAACTTTCAGTCTCTTCCTCTTTAGTATGGTCAGTTATGTTTGTGTTTGTAATGCTTTTCTGACTCTGGGATAAATACCATGATCAAGGCAACTTAGAAAAGAGTCTATTTTGACTTGTAGCTTCTGAGAGAGTCTATAATGGCAAGGAGGCATGGCGTCAGAAGCTGGCAGCCAGCTGATCACTTCTTTAACTACCCATGGGAAGCTGAGAACAGGAAGTGGAGCCAGTTATAAACTCTCCAAGCCCACCTTCTGTGACATACTTCCATCAGCACAGCCACACCTTCTAAAGGCTCCATACCCTCCCCAAAACTGCACCATGAGCTGGGGCTCAAGTGTTCAAATACATGAACCTTTGAGTATAGTTTTCATTCAAACTGCCATGTGTCCTTCATGGTTCTAGCTCTTCTGTTTTATTTTATTTACTTTATTTTTTCAGAAGTTTTACATTGCAGCTGGCAAGATTACTCAGTAGTTGGGCATTTGCTGCCAAACCTGACAATTTGAATTTGATCCACGAAAGGACCCACAAGTTGGAAAGATCACACAAACTTCTGAAAACAGTTCTCTGACATGCACATAAGGGCTGTGGCATGTGAGAATACACACACACACACACACACACACACACACACACACACACACACACCACAGAATAAATAAAAAATGCAATAACATATATGAGAGCTGGTAAGATGGCTCAGTGAATAAGTGCAGTTGCCACCAAACCCAAGGATCTGAGTTTGATTCCTGAGATCAGCACGGTGGGAGGAGACACGCAGCCTCCACGGGTTGCTGTCTTACCTCCAAGTGGCACATCTGTGCTCCCCCCCACACACACACCATAGTCACACAAATGTACAATTTTTTATTTTAAAAAGTGGTATGTAAAATAATGTTCATTTTTCTATGTCTCATGGTATCATCTTAATAATTTTAATTTTATTTTTTCTCTGTTTAATTCTGAACATTTTTGACTCATCTTCCAGTTTAAAAACCTTCTCTTCAGCTCTCTCTAATGTACTTCTAAATACGTCCACTTAGTTTTGGGTTAAATTGGTAACTGTTTCCATGTGACTACTCTGCTGTGCTGTTTCACAGATGCCGGGACTCTAACAAAACTGGCAGGACTGTTTGCTACTTCTGTGAACAAACTAAGCATTCCACTAAAGTTGTGCCTGACAATGTCAATATCGCAAATATTTAGCTTTCTCAATACTATTTTATTGTATTGTTATTTGGTCATGTAGCCGGTCTTGCGGGGACAGAGATGTTCACTTTCATTTAAAACCTTTAGTGGCTGATATTTGAGTCCTGGGATTTTCTTGCTTTTGTGAAGATAATCTGATAATTCTTTGATTAGGTGTCACTGGTTGTCTTAGCTTTGTTTTCTGTTTTTTGTCTTTAAAAAAATACCCTGACAAAAGCAAAGGATTTGTTTTTGCTTACAGTTCCACGTCACAGCTCATCACTGCAGAGAAGTGAGGGTAGCAGGAACCGGAAGCAGCTGGCCACACCACAACCATAGCCAGGAACAGAGAGAATGAATGCCTACTTGGTTTGCCCAGCTAGCTCTCTCCACTTACACAGTTCAGGATCTCCTGCCTAGGGAATTGTGCCACCCACAGTAGGTGAGTTTTCCCACCTCAGTGAACCTAACCAAGACAACCCTTCATAAACAGGCCCACAGGGTACCTGGTCTAGACAATCCCTCACTGAGTCTCTCCAAGTTAGTCTAGGCTGTATCAAGTTGACAATTAAATACAACCATCCTGTTGGGTTATCATTTTATCTGAAACCACTTGTTTCCTTGAAACTGAAATATTCACCATGACAAAACAGGACTTTATGAAATGCTATATAATTCCAAAAAACTACAAACATACTTATTCTCATGCTGACCTTGTGGTTCACGCCTCTAACTCCAGCACTTGGGAAGTTGAGACAGGGCAATCAAGAGTACAAGGCCAACCTCAGACACCAGAGGATCTGTAAAAAAAAATGTGCAGGCAGGATGATGGGGAGTTTGTAGTCAGCCTGGGCTACATGAGACACTGGGAGGTGGGGGAGTGGGGGCCAGAGCAAAATCTAATTTTCCTCCATTTAAATTTTATTTTAAAACCTTTTAAACTGTCATTTAAAATAGTGTTATGCTTGTTTATTTACAGGAAGAAAACTATAAACCAGGGTAATTAGATTTTCTTATCACAAAATATCCCACCAGGTTTCCTGCTTTTCTCTAACACACTGACACTGTTTATCTGATAACCATTTTCTGTTATTACTGAGTCATAAGGACCATGTGACATTCAGCAAATATAATATATATCTGGACTGTAAACATTATTAGCAAGATGGAGTCAAAAGTAAATGAGTCTTTACCATAAAGTGATTTTTATTTAATAAAAAAAGCAAAAATCATGGTAATTTGTGACTTGAATCTGCTTTTATTTCTACCATACCATCCTAGTAATGTGGTCTTCAGAACCATTTGTGGCTTCAACTGTTCACTGCTGCCCCCCCAGCCACAGCCACACCCCCACACACACAAAAACCCTCTCCCAGCCTAGTCCTGCATGACCATCTGTTTCTCTCCCCATGGAGAAGGCAGGGTGAGTAAGTCAGTGTGTCTAGATATCTAAGGACTTAGGGCTGGGCTGTGGTAGAAAGAGGCCTTTTCTTTCCTACTAGGGTCCATTCCTCTGTGGAGCTCTTTGCTCTCACATCCAAAGGCACCTTGAAGGGAGGACCAGGTTTGCCAGTTGAAAAGAAAGCATCCCTGCAGGACTACCTTGGAACTCAGCTAACCTCTCCGAGGCCTCATTCTTTTCCAGACTTCATACAGTAAATGCTGGTATGGAGCCAGCTCTTGGATCTTTTAAGAAATATTATAAAACTGTAATTTTAGTTAAGTGATTAAAATAACAGCTCGATGTGTTCCTGGCCAGGAAGGGCTATCACTGTTGTTTCTTCAAATCCTTTCCTTTTTCTGACTTTCTTTTCTTCAGGAATGACTGTACCCTTTGGTATTGATCTGTCATCCACAGCTGTCTAGCATTCCCTCTGTCTT